CGCCCAAATGTGGAGTCGGTAAGCTAAACAAACAAACTAAAAAAGTATTTATTTTCAGTAAATCATTTTTATAATAGTTTTGATAATAATATTAATAATAATAATAATAATAACAATAATAACAATAGCAATAATAATAATAGTAATTATTAAATATTATAGTAATATAAGATAAAAAATAATTAATACAAATTGAAGGAATAGTAATAATAAGTATGTTTACAATAATTACAATGAAAAAATAATAATAATTACTAGTATTATAATAGCAGTTATGAGCATAAAATTATTTATAATAAAAAGTCAATGATTTATTTAGGATGGTGTCACTCATACAAAAATCTAATCAGAGAAATGACACAAGTTTCTAAACATAATATATGTAATAATAAGAAAAGACATACATGGAAACATAATGATCGAAAACACATTTATTATATCACATAGAACATACATTAAAAAAAACATGTAGAAATCATATTTTGCAGTTTTTAATAATAAAAAAAAGAACAAAAAAATACTGATGCTAATTGTAGTAATGACAAAAAAAATTTAAAAGAATATTTTATTAGTAAGGATAATATGTCTAAAAGTTAGAGTTTTCAATTTGACTATGTTTAAGATAGAGTAAAGGTATTTTAGGATATAGTTTTTCGGACTCATTCAAAATACAAGAAAGGCTCTTGTTCCATTCACAGACACACTGAAAAACAATAGCATTTTAATCATACTACTGGGTTTTAAAAGATGGTACATTTAGTTTTCTATTGCATATATTTCTAGTAGTGTAGGAATGTAATAGCCTACTTTCTTTTAACAAGTTTGATATAGGAGATGATAATTTCAAAAATAGTGTCAAAAATAAAAAGAAGATTAGCATACTTTACTTACACTGGAAATATTGGAGTGAAAAGTTTTTTAAGAACTTTGATGTGATTGTAATGATTGAAAGATTATTATTCTAATGGATTGACGCTGAGAAGATAGCAACTTGTTAATGCGATAGTTTCCAACTTAAGCCCAAACTTGACAACAATATCTAAGATAAGTTGAGAATAATATATTGTAAATATTATTTAGTTTAACATTATTGACATTATGACGTATTATCGAAAGCACACTATTAGCTCAAGTTTCTTGCTTAGTTCATTATTATGAAAGTTCCAAGAAAGATTTCAATCAATTAATACACCAAGATATGTTATAACTTTTGAAGGATATAACCGTTTATTATTAATTTTGATTTTGACTTCACCATTTTTTTAGAAAAAGTTTTTTTTTGGAAATGAAAAAAAAAAATTAGTTCAGTCTTTTCGGTGTTGAGACATTTTAGGTTAGCATTTAACTAGCGAACTATACTTTTTAGATCCGAATTAACATTTATACATAAAGAATGATACGATTTGTTGATATGCAAGAGATTTGATTCATCAGTAAACAAATTGAACTGAACTTAAGAGAAAGTGAACAGAGTTGATTAATTGTTAACCTAAATTAAAAATAAAAGAGGACCTAGAACGAAGCCTTGAGGAACACCACATAAAGTTGATTATTACTAGAATTGAAACCATTAGTACTTACAAATTGTTTTTGGTCTGAAA